GCCGTGTGCTGACACACCCACACCCAGGTTTCTATAAGCGGCCTCATCTTGTCCCATCATATCCTCTGTTCCCGTGTTTTTGTACTCCTGTCTAAGCCGGGACGCCCCAGAACACAGTGTCTAAACATGTCTGCGTAAGAGGCTTTTTAATTTCTCAGCGTCATGGAAAGGCTGACATGCCGAGAAGGAGACCGCATTGTCTTGGCCGTCGAGTAGGGAGAACAGCCGTTTAGAAGAGGATGCGAGGCAAAAGGCGCTTACTCATCCACATCGCTGAATCGTGATGATACAGATGCACTTTATTACACAAACCACCGGTGACACAACAAAGCAATGCACTCCAAGCCCGCATCAACAGATCCGTCCCGTCAAAAGTGTTTTTTCCTCCAAAAAACTGCATTTTTACATAGCTGAAGCAGCCCCCCCCCTCCGGGAGCCATCGAGATATTAAAGCCGATAATGGCCGATAATGTTTCAAAGGTCAGCGGCCTTTACATAATCCTCCTCCGCTCTAAATGGATACAAAAAACACACTGGTGATGCGGTCATGGTTCTGATGTATAAACATTTCTTCTAAAAAAAGGAAAGAAAAAATACTGAGTCGGTAGTTTTTTTATAGTAATAGTCTAACTTTTTTTTCTAACTGTTTTATATAGGGGGAAAAAGATTTCTCGGAGAGCAGTGACGGTAGATTTGAGCTGTCTCGGAGAATCCTTGACTTCAAACTGTCTGCGTTGCAGAATGATACACCCTACGTACCATATAGCCTATACTGACTGATGCAAGAACGTCAGCCTATAATTTAAAATAATTATTCCAGTTCTTGCATTAATTCTTCGTAAATTTAAGTAGCTATAGCTAGGCCTATTTATTAATCTGTTTGCATATACACTGTTAGTTGTTCTTTGTACTGGGTGTGACTTAAATATAAATGGGGGTTAAAATATTGAATCATAATCGAACATCAATTAAAAACTTCTGAGCGACTTAATTCGTTCAGTACGCTTAAATAGATCATACATGGCTTTAGGTTCCATCTGTGTTTTCTAATGTGATTCCTTTGGCCTATTTCAGCACAAAATTTTACAAAGAAAATATGCTAGTTTAGTTATATATTTCATGGTATGTCAGATGAATGATAGCATCATTCATGAAATTGCACCGCAACGTTAGTATATTAAGGGTTCCTTCTTACCGGATGTGTCTCCTCTTGCTCTGAGTTTCCACTGAATGCGCTGCGAAACCTCAGCTGCGCCGATGCTTTCGAAGGGCCGCAAACCGAAATAATACTGTCTCCAGCGCAGATCGCAATCGGGCTACCTTGCACTCAGGACCAGCGTTTTTACGCTGAGGTGCCTCTTCAGGCGTCGCCGGCCTGTCGCCAGTTCTATTTACATACTACCCTCGGCCACTTAACTGACACCAAGTATGTCGCTCGGTCAGCTTGAAAGTATAGTACACCACCGGTATCAGCTGAAGCCCTGTTCTTTCTGTGTGTCTCTGTTTACATTAAAATTAATCCCCATTAATAGCGCTAGTGCATTAGGGATTCCCAATAGTCCCTAAAGTCGGCTTTAACCTATCAAGAGATTAGTAGTTAAGGTTATATTTGAGCCGCAAAGATCGATGAAGTAGTTAAAACTTTAGATCCAATCGGTGTTTGTTTGGCGACTCGATTCTGCCGAATTGGCCAAGTTGCGCGCCTGATGGTCTGGGAGCGACAACAATGTTGTGATTTTAAAAATGGTGGATACAAATCGAAGGATTATTAAAGGAATAAGTTGCATAGGAATTTGAGATTGTTTCGTACGTGTCCCAAAATAGCCACACTGGTTGTAATTTATGGGAAGATTCCCAAGGAATAACGCGAACAAAATTCGATGATTATGAATCTCTCGGTGTGAAGACTAAGTAATCGCGAAAAGTAATAATGGAAGATTGTTCTGAAATCTGTTAACAAGACGGCGATATTTCATATCGTGGTACACATATCATCACACTGATATGTGTAGGTAATGCAATTAACCTCTGTGTATTTGTAGGTACTGCAATTAACTGATTAAAATGTTTCATCTGTCCTAAGTGAAAATGTACCGTTTCCATTAATATTAGCATATTGAATGTTATATTAATAGGCCTACATATATGGATGGACCTAAGGCCCATTTCAGACTGAAGGAGGAAACACACCACTTCAATATATGTATGTACGAAAGAAATATACAATCTGAAGATGTGAATTACAAATATACACATATACAATATACGCTTGAAGGTTCTACGTATACCTATTATAGTAATTATAATGTTCACATATATAACAATGTATTAATGATACATATCTACTAAATATATGTAACTATATAAATAAATTAATTAGACCTACATATTTATCGGTAGATATATCACAAAATATAACCTATTTAAGTTAACAAAATGCACAGGCCATTCTCCTGTTACTTTGGATGGCCGAGAGAGTGGGATTTTCCAGGTCTGTCATAGTCTATTAAGAATGTTTTGCACATATAGGCTATTAAAAATGTTTTGTTGATACATACTGTGTGAGTATCTTGCGCGCGCGTGTGTTTGTGACGTGCTTTTGTGTTTTATTTTCTCTCATGATCATTAGCATCACGGCTCTGACCGTTTCCCCCCAGAGCTTCGCCTAGGCAGCTTCCGTGGGCTCCGCGAAGCCTGCGGACTGTCTGTTTAATATCCATCGGCCTGCTTCGCCTCAGTTTAAATTCTGCCTGTCTCTTTTCTGCGTCCCATCTCTCGCCCTGACTGGCCTGGTATGCGGCTCTGCAGTTTCCCACAGTTTATACCGACTCCCCTTCGGAGTTTTAACCCATGCTCTTCGCTTTATTTCCTAACTAAATCTCAAGTCTCGTTTTTGTTTAATATTTAAAAGTAGAATATGTTTAGGCTCCGAATCCATTTCGATTACTTCTAAGCGCTAATGTGTTTTTAATATTCCGATTTTTTTATTATTCGAAATATATGTTTTGTTTAAATATGTTCCTAAAGTGGTCGTGTTTTATAGTTTTATAGAGAAATGAAGACATTCACTGATAGTATCCAGTCATTAAACGGTTAACGCTATGTCATTTCCAAAAGGCTGTTTTATAATACGTGGCGGTGGGGAAATTGTGTGAGGTTTTTTTAGTAGAAAATATAAAACGCTGGCGCAAAATTATCTTAGCGAAATTTAACAAAAACACCCCTAACTCTCATTCGCCTGAAACGGTTGTTGATTTAGCAGTAATTGGGCAGCCACGTTCAATCGGCAGTCGTTTATTGTCCGTTTCCTAATTCATTTTCGCCCTTCTGTCCTATATAGTCCCCTCCACTTTTCGCAGTTTTTTTTTTCTTCAACGGAGAAATGGTTAAACATGTAGCAATAAAGGCCTTGCTTTCAGATGCCCGCCTCCCGCTGTAACCCCCAGTTCGCTTGCCCCTGCAAGAGCACGGCTGGGGCGCTACCTCCTAATCAGAACCTCTTTCTCTTTGAACAAAAAGGAAGGAACAAAAGTGAACACATTTTCATCCGTCCCCTGCACGGCCAGCCAGCTAAAATACATTCCCCGCCTCCGCGTCAATGCGGAATATTAGAACGTCAATCCCTCAGCGCCCGGGCCCTTTCTCACCATACCAATCCCCAGCCTGCCTACCACATACCTTTTGTCCATGAATCCAATAAGGACTATTATTCATACTCTCCAACTCAATTCGAGCTGCTTCTTTCAGGGTATTTTAGATGCCTAATCGCGTCCTTAAGGCTCGGCAATGTAGAGAAACTTCCTCCTTTCACAACCATTCGGCACTTGGACAATTAATTCGAGTGTGCCTCGGCTGCCCTTTCTGTCTCCAGCAAGAGATTTACCGTAAGTGGCAAGAGGCAAAGAAAACGACACATCGCTGTAACCAATGCCCAAAAGATTTTTGGTTATTGGGAAAAAAAACACCCTGTGACCACATTTTTCTTCTGTCGTTTGACATTCGTACGTTTCACACGCATTACTGTTGAAGAACAATAAATAAAACACAACGATACCACTGACACACAATGCACTACCTGAAGCACAAGACGCGGGAGAGAGTGACAATCGTCTTTGTATTTAATCTGATGAATAAACACACACAAATGCTGTAAATTATAACAGAACAACGTAAAAAAACACATAACAACCGTAATTCGCAGAATAGACGCTATTTTTACGTCGATAAAATGATGTCTGCGCCATATATTTGAAACATTTCACCTGAAAATATATTAGATACCGCTAATTGTTCTTCTGAGTAGGAGTGGTTTACAACATGGGGCAGATCATATGTAATTTACATTGTCTAAAATTCTATTTACATGCGCAATAACCTATTCTTCACCGGCATTTTTACAGGCCTATGGAGATTAGATTTGTTGGATTTAGAATGAATCTTATAAACTTGAAATGGGTAGTGACGGATAAGTGGCATTTATTCATAAACCTGGTTATGATCATAACTTGTATATACTTGTATAAATTATAGGTAATAGTAGACAAAACACCCAGCTGTTTTTTTTTAATGTTTGTTAATTTATCCGTATTTGCCGGAAGAATGAAACGTAATGCCTTGTAACCATTAAGTAAAATAGCTTTGGGACAATAATCTTTCAAAAAGGACAGATGTATAATTTAGTGACAGCCTATTTTTAATCTATCGCCTACTTCAGCTTTAAAATACACAGTACAAGCATTAAAAACGTTTTCATACTTAGTCCTTTGTAGTGAGGTGTTTGGAGCAGTTCTTAAATCCAGTCGCATTTAACGGCCTTAGACATTAACCAAGAAACTACATATTTATGAGAATATTATTCTTTTTCAGCTGGGACCTAAATTATATTTTTATAGTTTTTTTAATGTCGTTGATAAAACTTAAGGACATTCTAGCGATTAGATTGATTAATCAATATATTATTTTATTTTTCCAGTAAAGCACACCGGTGTCCTTCGAACACTTAACACTGTGAATTTTGTACGAAGTTATCCGGAAATCTTTATACAGTACTGGCATATTAATGACCTTCAATTCCAAAGGTCATAAAGTTCATGTTTGTTTATACGTGAAAATCCTCAGTTTCATTCTAGATAACAGAAAAGTAGACTGTTGCGTCATTATTTTGTTTGAATTCTTCTGTGGATCCCCGATTCATTTCTGGGACCGTTACACTATATACCCCTGCCTGTTACTGACAGAAAAGTAAACATTTGGATTTTCAAGATTTCCCACAGTCTACAGCCCACGCTTTATAAATGCTTCTAGGCTATTATACAAAACACTGTTTTGGTAATACTGCAGGCATGTAACAAACTTGTGAATATGATTAATAATCTTCGGTATGATATATCAGTAACATCATTGTGATATAAACGGGAAAAATTACGACTTGTGGCCTGTTTTGAAGCTACCACGCTCGGATTCCCTGCAGCGTCCCTTGACACGGTGAAACCGCCGTTCCTTGGTGCGTTTGCGGCTGAGGTGAGCCGCTGATGTGGTTCGCGATATTACCGAGGTTCACGTTCATAAAAGCGTTAGCAGCCGTCGTGGATGGTAGTGCGGGAATACCGGAGTAAGTGCAGCTGTAGCTGCTGTTATAAGTTGGGTTGTTGTAGCTGTAAGCCGGATAGCCGTTGTAATTGTACGGGTTTGTCCCGCAATACGGTGCGTTATAATTCTGCGATCCCGCCAAGCATGGTTTGCCATCACGGACCAAAACTGGAACTGCCACTCGTCTGGGTGGAGGTGGGTGGTGGTGTCCTGCCATTTCCAGCGACTTGTCCTGGCGCTGCCGCTTGCATTTGTACCTTCTGTTTTGAAACCATATTTTGACCTGCGTGGAGGTGAGTTTCAGCGTGCTGGCCAGGTGCTCCCGCTCCGGCGCCGACAGATACCGCTGCTGCTTGAAGCGCCTCTCTAGCTCGAACACCTGGGCCTGCGAGAAGAGCACCCTCGGTTTCCGCCTGGTCCGCTGCTTCTGCGGCCTCTCGGAGTCTAAGTGCCGGCCATCCGCGCATCCATCGGTTTTGGTATCAATACCGCAGCTCTCTGTTGAAACAGTGAAAGCAGAGCAGTGAGAGTCTATATTCTGAAAACACCCCGTCGCCGATTTACCATTATGACAAATGTAGGTGCACATATCGTGCACGTATGTGTGCAAACTTTCCTCACATTGAACGCGACCTATAAAGTGAACATTTCCAAGAATCAACTAAATCATTATCATAACTCATGTTTACTTAACTTGAATGGAATATACCCATTGTAATTCTTAAAATAGGCTTACCTATTTTCCCTCAACTTATTATTGACCGAAAACATAAAACTATTTAGCAGTAGACTTTGGCTCTTTATTGCTTTAGAAACGTTCGTTATAATTCAAGTGAATACTCATCATCGACTTTGAGAAAATAACACCAAGTTAACAGAGTAGCGATACAGCTACGCTTGGCCTAAATCGCCGTACTTTTCTATGAAACGTTCTAATTTTTTGCCAGGTATACTTCATTGGGACATATTTTGGTACATGGCCTACGTATTGCAGACCACGTGACATCGATTATTAAAAGTAATATAAAATTAGGCTGAGATACTGCAATTGAACAGTAATTTAAATAGTGTGTATAATACTTATATCCTACTATTGCTTTTTAAAAGCCATATATTTTCCTGTCATTATATAATTCATTTTAATGAATAAAATAAATATTTTTTACACATCAGACATAGACTTTTTGCGTAGCTGTATTAGGAATTTGTCCGTTTCTTGTGTTGTCCCTCGAAGTCAGGGATTCACAAAGAATAAGGTTACAGCTTTAACGTGTTCGATGAGGCGCTTTGTCAAAGAAAACAAGAGCTATTTTAAAACAAATCTTTAAGGTTTAATTTGTAACTCACTGGTTTCTTGCTCGTCGACATCCCCGTCTAATTTGGAGTCGGTCAAGTGTCCCAGCGCCGAATGAATATACATGTCTGGGGAGAGGCTGGCTTCTCCGGGGCCGTCCCGCACTGACAACGTGCTAAGATAGGACATGTTTTCCTCTCCGTCCGAGAAGCTGGGGCTCTCCCCGGCGTTCAGCATGCAGGAGGGAGGCGTCTGGAAATGCTGGGCTTGTGACAAATCCTGGCTTAAGTGCGCGCGGGGTAGCTCGAGATGTAGGGAGTGGTGCTGCCGAGATTGCTGCTCCAACTTCAGTATGTCTTTGACAGAGAACGGCGTGGAAGTGACCGGACTCGGAAGCATTGTAGCGTCCTGTTCAGTTACATTAAGGACACGAACTCTACCGAAAGCAAATCAGATAACATGCGTCCTTTCAAATGATAAAAATAGTTAAACGTCTAATAAGTTAACATGGGAAGAATAAAGGTGTGCGTTCATTTCCCAGCCGACCAAAAAACAGCAAAACAAAACGGAAAATCACCTTGTACCTGCCTGTTTACCACGCGCAAAAATCAGGTCCAGCGTGCTACTTCTGACAACCACTTAATGTTTTGTTCTAAGAGTCCGTGGATGGGCAAAGCTTCTCCTGCTCGTTGATGTCACGAACCTGGGGGCGGGTTTAGTGCGGGGAGTAACAGGGGGTTCGGCCAGTCCGCTCACAAGCTGGAGAGAGCGCGGGGAACGTGGGACATACATCCCGCCTCCACTGCCTCAGTTCCCCCAGCGCTGAGCCAATCAAATTGACCTGAGAGGTGCATTGATTGACGATATTACCAATACTGGCGTCGTGCCCAGTTTTTAAAGAATTAAGCTTTTTATAAAAAAAAAAAACACGTATATTTGGGACATCACGCCGTCTGGGTTATTTTAACTTATCGTTAGTTTGAAGATTGCATCTGTAGTAGGGCCCAGTAAAACACATTCAATCAATCTGATAGCAAGGCAGTAATTTTTGCCTAAATAAAATAGTTTATGCAAAGTAGTTACCGTTTAAACCAGTTATCCAACGATACGTACTGTTACAAGAGCAATTTTATATAATTTTTTGTGCTATGAGACGTTTACTTTTTGTTTGTTTTATATTAGTTTTTTGTTGTTTTCCAACTGTCTGCGTATTTAAATACTGTTTAACTGATATAATAAATTTACTGGCTATTTATCGAATTAATAATACATGTTAACTAATTCTACTGATTATTATAGAAAAATAAAATATAGGCTACTATCGACCGACAGGCCCTAGACATCCAATTAGAAGGCATCTCTTTTTACACAAATACAGAAACACAGTAAAAAAACGATGGCTGATCTTAAGTTATATAATTTACAACAGATTAAAATGAAATTATACCATGCGGACAAATCTACGGAACAGAAGTTTTTGATTTTGCTGTTAGGTTCATTAAAATACTTCCGTTCACTGTCAAGTGTTACTGTGTGCTTATTTTGGGACAGGTAAAATGTTTGGGTCTTAATTTTTCATTTATTTGTGGGGGTGGGGGGAAGCGCACTGGATTACAGGGTTGTAAAGCAAATATAACACCATAAACGGAGAGTCCATTGATATATTCAAACACGCCATTGATATAGAATTCGACACATTTCATCACGTGGGCCTGGAGCTCATCATATAGGCAGCACCGGCCACAAGGCTGGATGCCAGTCCATCGAAGGGCACGTACGCGCGTTCACAGACTAGGGGCAATTTAGAGATACCAATTAGCTCCACTGCATGTCTTTGGACTGCGCCAAGTAACCCGAAGGACATGGGGAGAGCAAATTAACTGTCCTCAGGGCGGGGTCATTATTTTAATTCACAACTATAGACTCACTGAGCCACCGTAGCCTACCGGCCAATGTATAATATATATCATATCGAATACGGTACAAAAACTGTCTGAAGAGTAGGTCTATTCGTAGTGGAGTCTAAATGTGTTTTTTAACCGCCGCTATCAGCAGTTTATTAATAAACCCTTTCGGACGATAAGCAGGCCCCGTCAGCAATTAAAATTCCACAAGGAAAACTGATTGACGTTTTTAGCAAATATAATCTGCTGGTATCAGCTTCCTTTCCGTTTTAAAGGACTTTCAGCGCGCGTCTGTCACTGTATGGCCCGCGGTCCGTCTCTCACTCACACGCACACTCCTCTGACGTCTGCTTACAGTATTTTTCTCCTATCGACACAAGGCAGAGAGGTGTGTGTATTTATTTATCTGATATAAGCTACGTTATCATGGTTTCAGGAGTAACAGGCACTTTTGAAGTATACAGAAGGAGGAAATTAATACGCAACATCATCTTGAGTATTGAAAATGATTGACTTAATTTTCAATTTGTCAAAAAGGTGAGCATTGGTTTATCGTTTAATTGGACATATATATAACAGTCAAAATTATACTCTGTCGGCCTACCAAAACAGGTTTCTCATACACGTGTAGGGCAGTACAAATAAAGAAGTACCCCCACGTGCGCACTGACACCTCTGGCAAGTGTACTACAAATAAAACCTAACGATCCTCTTTGGAGTTATAGAAGAGGGCATATAATTCTAAAGAGTATTTGAAAAGCACGCACAAGTTGTCAAGTTGGGAGAGGGCGGCGAATATTCAGAAGCTGAAGTACTGCGCCGCAAGGTCCGTATTCGCTTCCCGCAAATGCCGCAGAAAAGTCGTTACACTTGCGCAATTCTTAAATATCACATAAATAACAGTGCCACTCGCATGAGTGTAACTGAAAAATACAAACGAACAAAGTGCTTATCAGGAAACCTAGACCTAAGCAAAAAAAATCAATGCAGATATTTTACACTGGCCCATGGCTTGTGTTTTGTAATTTACTGTTGTATAATGCACCCATATATTCAGCCCTCGATCCATCCATCAATACGTCAATTTATCCATCTTCCAACAGATTGTCCTGGTCAAGGTCGCGGGGGAGGGGCTGGAGCCTACCCAGGGTGCATAGACACAAGACGGGGGTAGACCCTGCACAGGATACCGGTCCATTGCAGAGCACATATACACACTCACACGCACAAATATACAGTATGGGCAATTTAGTGACGTGGTGTAGTGTTCAGATCAAACGGGAGATACAACTGACAAACGCGTGCTGGAGGTAAACAGCGCGAGAGAAATTAAATTTAATGCAAGCAACTCTACGTCGTGGCGCACTGGTCAGCGTTTTATTATAAACATATTCTAATGGGTTACTCTGCTTCATTTGGCAAGAGAAAGTGAAAAAGAATGCTGTTTTTTTCTGAATTATCTCATAACTGAGTTACAAATTATCGTGCGCATCAAGATTGCCATACGTGAAGTCGGCAAGCAGAATTATTTATATTCACCATAAACCATATATTTATATACACCATAGGAGTAATGCAGACGATTTCCTGTGTAATATACAATATCATCAATATAAAAAAAACTTTAAACCGTGACATTTAATGATTTTTAATGTATAAAAACAATATAATTTCAATGGGAAATAGCCTATACTGGTTTAACTTTTTATATAAAACGGTAGCAAGAAAAATTGGTTATTAATAATTTTGTAATCAGCAAATAATTATACTGAGCTGACGTTATAGCATGGGTAATGTCTGAACTCCGTTAGAAAGTTTTCCTCCTTTCAATTAATTAAAAATAGTTCATATGTTACTATAGAAACAAGAATTTACCAGGCTGTGCTGTGATTCTGTGTAAACAGAACTAAAAACACGATTAATGAGCTCGGAGATTGTCATGCAGACAAAGGAGTATAAGAACCTTTGGTTCGGTTTAGTTTTGCAGATGCGTTTCCTTTGATTCGCGCATACATCCGAACCTCTTTCCGTTTCGATTAAATAAGAATGCGGTTCCGATATATCAGTTTATTGCCCCTTTTCCCCCGAAACTCACTTTTATGATTTAGGTGATTCTAATTCCTTTAAGAAGAAAATGCAATTAATGGCAACACACAGACACAGACACACACGCACACACACACACACACACACACACACACACACACATATATCCATGGCGATTCAGTAGTTTCCACATGCACAAATATAAAATTCCGAATACTGAAGTTCAGTCAACTACTACTAGGCTATTACTCCTACTATAATTGTTGTTGCTGTTGTTAATGACTCAGTGCAAGTTCTTTATAGCACTACTCCTACATTTAAATATAAATTCCAATTGTCTATATTAGGTGTTACTATTTCAGAGGGTCGGGACGTTGTTGTTGCTCTTCCAAATGTATCTTCTGTCTATTCACACAGAACCCATATAATTTGGGTAGCGTCCTAAAAATTGTTCTAATAGAAAGTTCGGGCCGTAAGCAGCGGGAGACCAGCTTACACGCGCGTATGAGGCAGGTGGTTGTTGCGGTTCCACCGCTGATAATTATAACAGAAACAACAACACAGTGTTTTGTCGTTGTCATTGTAGCCTTACTCATCATCCTCAGATGTTCTAATACTGATTAGGTGGCATTTTACATTTAAACATTACAGGGTTTGTATCAAGAATTTAAATATCTCTTTTTGAGTGTCATTTTACCCGGGATTATTATTTTAGTCATCGTCACTTTATCATAATTTTTATTATGGTCCGTAATCTGGCTCGGAAACAAAGAAGAGGAAAGTGTGTTAAGACAAAAATGTTACTGGATAAAATCCAGACCAGGGATTTTCTCACCTTATTATCCATCTTCGCTTTGCAGCGTTTCGTTGTGAGGACTGATGGAAACCAGAACACACACGCGCAAGGTCTCAGCTGGTCCTTCCGGGACCCCTGCGGAATTTGTCACAGTACCTCCGCCTCGCGGAGGATTTGCTGGGCTGTGGTTCTGCGTGGCCGGGCGGGGAGAGTCCACAGATGAGCTCGACCTGACTGGGAAAGGGGAAATCGATTGGGAAAGGGGGGAATTACATTATTCCCAGCTTTAAGTAAACCATCGATAAAAATTATATATATATATATATATATATATATATATATATATATATATATATATATATATA